TACAGACTTAATACATTCAAGCTACAGCTTAGTCAAAGGAAATAGTGTATGTTTTCTACTTAGTGTAAGTAATCAGTTCTAGTATTATTCTGAGAATCTTATTAACCAGTTCTAAGTAAAGAGCTTTCTCAAGCATTCTAATAAGGATGTTATTAAACCTGAGTGTGAATCCTACCTTCTAGGCCAGAATATTAAACTTCTGAAAGAAGGTATTAGTAAAATGTTTGCTCTGTTACAGAGACACAAGCTTGTTCTACACATTACACTTCTTATTCAGATTAATAAAGGAAGTACAGAACTGCTCTATAAATTCTGAATACAACTTGTTGTTCTAAAGTCAGATCAGGCTTCTAATCTAATGTCCTTTAATCCAGTTCTGAGCCCAGGTGGCTGTGTTGCCTTCCTTCATAAAGGAGAGGACAAATAGGACACAATTAAGATTTAAGGATAGATTAGTTAAAGTAGTAGTTATATATAGTTTAACTTAGTGTTAGAAGTTCTTAAAGTACTACTCATTAAAGTCTAAAGGGTATACTATATATACTTTCTTTCTAGAACAGGTTGCAACTTTTAGAACAATCAGAACAGGTTCTAAGAGGGCTAGAGGCACATAGTTAGTAAAAGCCTCTTAGATAAAGGTTTGTACATATTAAGCTAGGTCTACTTACAACTACTAATCTAGTAGGACAGTAGGGGTGGCAGTTAGTGTAGGAGGGTCTATGTTTACACTACAAAGGAATTAACACTAAACTAAAAGGGGTAATGAATAGAAGAAGGGTAGTAAAAGCTTAAAAGGGTTTAGAAAGTTTAAAATTTAAAAATGTAAAAGGGTTAGGACAAAGAAAAGAGATCAACACAATAGTAAGTACTAATGTCTGAAACATAAGAGAGTTGTAGGGTAGTAATAAGTAGTCTTAATCTGATGTTAGTAACAGTATAGAAGGGACCTGAAGGCTTAGTAAGAGGACTCAGGCTACAACTATCCTACACAACAGAAATACAGAACACAAGTACTAGAACATAGTTGGAACTCATAAAACAGATATAGAGAGAGTGTGAGACAAGAGTAGAGTGTATAGAGTAAGTCTAAGAGTACAAGACTACCTAGAGTAGATAAGATTAAGACTATAAAACTAGTCTGATCTTGTATACCTATATATACTAAACTATATAAGAGTACTCAGAGAGTATAAGCTACTAAGAATGATAAGTTATAAAGAATAAAGAAAAGGAAGGTCAAAGATAAAGGTACAAAGAATGAAGGGATAAACAAAGGGTAAGAGACTATAGAATGAACAAAGAATGAAAGAGTAGTTAAAGGAACAGAATGATAAAGTAAGAAGGGGTAGTAGTAAGAGTTAGTATACATATAGTTTATAGACAGTACCTCTAAGGGACAGAAGTCCTGAGTTCTGGTACAGAAGGGTGTAGAACCCTTAGAACTGAAGGTATGAGAGTAGAGAACTATAACATACTCCCTCTCAGGTATTCTCATTCTTTCCTCCAGCTACTAACACTTTACAGCTAACATTGCCCTATTAATACTCTCACTCTTCTTCTTTATATATAAGTACTACAACTATAATACCTTGTTAATGATTGGATTTGTTACAATTTGTTTGTAACACTTTAACAGAATATCAGCTTAATCAGACTGTAGTTGTGTCTCAAGAGTAGCTCTTCCTTACTTACTCAAGTACTTTAATAATACACTCTGAGAGAAGAGAAGAGCCCCTCCTAGTTAATTAGTATTACTAAAGTGGTTGATTATTCTATAGTGAGTCAATTGTGGGTTCTTGTTAATAAAACTGATAACATTAATCCAGTCTTTGTTAGTAAGATTATGTCTCTTATACTTTGGTTTTGTAACAGCTAATAACATTATAGCATTTTGATCTTTTTCTTAGTATAGAGAATAAGGAGCAGGCTTTGGACAAGGTTTGCACTTTTTTTCACTCATTATAATGACAAGGAGAAGGTATCCTTAGTATAGGTATGTGTTGCATTTTTTCTTCAGCTCTGTAACTTGTTCCTGACAGTACTATATTTTAAGATTCTTTACTCCTTTAAGTATTAATAAAGCTTATTTTCCATGTTCTATAGAACTGTTAGACTTTTTGCTTCAATTTGTAAACAATTTAGTCTTATTTAGTGTACAAGCTAATTAATTTTTAGTATACAAATGACATCTACTAAGGAATAATCTGAAAATTTTCTATTTGTTATTCTATAGTGAATATTTGGAATAATTTACTGTGTACTGAGTCTGTTGCTAGGAAAAATAAATTCCTTATAAGATATATTCCTTACTACTGTATTTGTTATAAGATTATTGACTGTAGTATAGGTTCTTAAAAAGAAATACTAGGGCTGGGTTGTGTTATTATAGGATCTGAGCTCAATACAGGTATTATAATGACTGATTAGAGAGACAAGTATAGTAATGTTTATTGTCTACATAGTTACAGACAGTGTGCCTGCTAGCAAGCAGAGGACTGGACTGGAGGGAACAAAAGTAATGAGTGTTACTATTCACAGGGCAGAGGGTTGAGGGTAGGCAGAGGTCAAAGGCAAGCAATAAGGGTGAGTGTAGCACTCAAGATTTAAGTAAAGTCCCATGTGATATTCAACCATTACATAAGCTAA